CAGGTGCAGTTGATGACGATTGACTTGTAAACCTGCATAGACTCAGAGGTCGACCCCCATGATCAGCGCACACAAGCATTCAATTCCATGCCTTTTTCGTTATGTTGTCCCGAGGTGGGTATTACTCAGTGCTCATCATCATCCACGGGGACGGTTGATAATGAGAAAGGATGTGTGATGTGTTTCTTTTTTTCAGCATTTGCGGTAACAAGAGAGGAGCGCATCATTTGAGGTTAACTCGCGTGCCGTTTCAAATGCCGGTGAGGAAGTGTTCTTCAGGCTTGTGTGTCATGTTGAGTAGGATTGCTCGACCCAACAAAGAAGAACGTTCCGATTTGGACATCTGGTTGCTTCGATTCGAGCCGGATTCCCGGGTGTGATTTGTCAGGTAACTGTACCAACAATTGAAGCGTTGCTTGAATTCTCACTCTGCGGAAGGTGCCAGGTCTGCTCATGAGTGGGGGAAAGTCTACTTGAAGTATTTTTCGCCGTTTTTTTTTCTTATCCCTCTTTCGGAGCTTATCTGAGGTCCTGATTTTAGCTAGTAACCTTCCAATTCCCAGTTTGATTTTCATATGAATCGCTGTATGTAGATCATTGAGACCGAAGCCTTAGACATCAAGTACCAATGAGCCCCCCAAGAACAAAGAGAGAGAGGGAATAAGAGTCAACGAAGAGGAAAAGTGTGTACATTTTGATATATTTCTTCGAGAAAATAACAACAAAAAAACAGCCCAGAGATCCGGAAAAAGATTAAATTTGTAAAGATCATACAACGAAAGAAACGTGAGAACGTTGATAGCAAAAATAATCAGGGGGTGTCGATGATGGTGTTTGATTGGGTGTTTGTTCAAGAAGGAAGGATGCCGATCCTAGCCGCGAGTTTGCCATACTGTTTAATCACGAGTTGTTTTGTCCGAAAGCCGTAGACGATGAGCGAGATGATAGCGATCACGACGTTACACAACTACCAAAAACCAAGACGAGAGAGACAAGTGTCATTTTACATATCACAGCCATCGTTCTGGGGGATGACTGAAAAAAAGGGGGGGGGGGGGGGGGGGGGGGGGGGGGAACCAGGGAAAAAACTTGACGACAATTCGTAGAAGTCTTGCGTGGGGGGAACACGACCCGTTCGCAAGCTTCCCAGGTCTGCTTACTGGGCCGCGCCCATCCCGGGGCCGATGTCGTCCTGATGGGAAGCCTCGGCGCGTGGAGCCCGTCCAGACGGTCCTTTCGATTCAGAGGTCGTCGTTGATGAAGATGATGTCGAAGATGAAGATGAAGTTGTTGAAGATGAATCTGTTGTAGGAAGATATTCGATCGAAGTGTGGTGGATCATTAGGCCAGTGGCATAGGTGCTCGGGTTACGTAGGATTGAGGCAATAAGAGCAGGTGACGAACTTCCAAGATAAATACAATCCACCAATCTTCTGTTATGATAAATCTGGCATACTGGATTACTCAACTGAAACAAAAAAAAAACCACATTTTTTTTAAAAAAGAAAAGAAGTTGTCAGAGATTATGGTACTTTTTTTTTCAGGGTTGAGAGCGAATCTAAGGGACATTTGTTTTGAGGATCTCACCTCGTCGATTGGGCAAGGCTGACAAGGACCGATTGGTTGGCACGCGTAATCGGCGGGCGAGATATCAGAATAGTTATGGCTGAGTTGAGGCTGAGTGAGAGTAGTAGCCTGGGCCTGGACGGCTGAGGATGCGGGCGAAGGACCGGGTTCGGTGGGAGGAGGCAGTGCGTCGGAAGGAGACCCAATAGTTCCGGAGACGGAGATGACGAGGACTAGAGCTAGGAGAATCGATGGGTGGAGTGTTGCTTGGAGAGTCGAAAGAGGTGTGCTCCTGGTGCTTGATATTCTCCTCCGCCGCCTGCTCCTTGTTCTTCCTATCCTGCTTCTGAGCTCGTTGATCGAGCCTTCGGTTGACTCCGTTTGTTCTTGGTGGTCGTAAGGAGAGGACATTTGCACTGCTGGGATGGTTGAAGCTGAAGAGGTTGACTGTGGCTTCGCACCACTTGAAGTCTATCCTGCAGTGCAGACTGCGGCCAGTCTACGCAGCACCAAACACTCCAAAAGAGCCAATTGGACTAGGAAAAAAAACACCACTGGAATATAAAAAAAACATTGGAATGAAAAACACCACTGGAATGAAAATTAACATACTTGAGCTTCATCTGGGACTGGGACATGGACAACTCACTCTAACACAAGCAGCAAGTCAAAACTGCTGGTCTTCCATATCCACTTAAGACTGAAAAGGAATGCCTCTTGAGTAACATAGGGCTTACAGATGGTAGTCAAACTTTCCTTCCTCAACTGACCATGCTATTTTGCCTAGGAATGGTTCACAAAAAGATACATAGACAAGCATGATACAAACATGCATGTTTTTTATTTCTCTCTCTCTCTTCTTCCCTAGAAAAAAGAGGTTTCCCAGATCTCTTGCAATGCTCCACCTAAAAAAAAGACATGAACAACAAGGAGTACAAACTATAGAATATTCTGACACATGTAAGGCAGAAAATAATTTGCAAATCTAAGCCTACAATTGTGGAAGAAAATCCAGATCTATGGCTAAATCTGGTCAAATTTAGAAGAAGGCTGATCAAGGCTTGACTGGATTGCCCTGTGTTTTCATGACTATTTCTTGTTAATTCAGCAAAAAAGAAGAGATGCATGTTATATTTCCAGGATGAAACTTTCAATTCAGACCAAGCATGTTTTTTTTTCTATAAGCCAAATGATCTCAATTTTGGAATGCAACCATACATATAATTGTGGGTGGTACTAAAGAGGTGGGGGAGGAGCCCAACCGGTTTCTCTAAGTATCCATTGACACATGGTGTTGGACTCTGATTGATGATGCTGTGAAGGGCCCTATTGCTGGATGGATGACATTTACAGCAGGGTTTGATGTCTTCTTGTTGAGATTCTTACATAAGACCCAGGGGCAATTGCTGGCTGGGGTAAGAGGAGCGGCATGTAAATATCTAGCAAGGACCGGGTGAATGATAAGCCAGAATGAGAAGGGTAAGTAGCAATAGAGCTACATTAGACTCCTGAAGGAAGTTCACGAGATTAATCTCCGTGCTTCACACTGCACAGTGCTCTGCCAGGGCCTCATGCCCAATAACCGATAGGCCAATCAGTTTGGCTGACTCACTCCAAGTTGTTGGCTTCGAAAGCGAGGCCGCTGCTTGATAAAGAGAGAGCCTGAGAGGAGTGAAGAACCTTGGGTGGTGAGCATTCCAGGGGCTTTGAACTTTATATTCAAGCTCTGAGACATGTGAAAGAAATTTAGCCTGATGATGTCATCCACCAAAACCATTAACACTTGTCGATCAACAAATTTCACAATTCTCTGAATCAGCCAAGATAAGCCAGCCAGTCAACAAGGAAATTGTAACACATTTATCGAGAATCGAGAAGAATCCTATCAGCTCGATGGGCTTGCTGGACTGGTGCCGATTCTGTTGACCACTCGTTTATAAATACCCAATTCTCTCTCTCCCCCTCACTCCCTCCATCTCGAGAGTCTAGTATGCTGTTTTGATTCCAACTCGAGCTGTTGACCATTACCTGATAAAACTGTGGGAGTTGTATTAGTAGATATCATAGGCCTCAGTTGACCAGAGCAAAAGATGGCTGTCTCATGCTTCCAATTACCTGCTTGGTTTTGTATCTCGTTAATCTGGTTGGTTCGATCGATCGTCCCTCTGGCTTGGTTCTATTTTGTCTCGAGCCTACTCTGCTATTTGCTACCCGACCAATATTATTCCCTCCTCAACTACCCCCATGGCCATCATCACAACAAGCAGCAACAGCTGCACCATCAGCCGCGATTATGGTCTTCACTCTGCTTGTTCCTCTCGACGATCGAAGTCGCTTTCTCGATCTATTATCTCTACTCGGCTCATCTTGTCCAACGAAGGGTCGCCCAATTCGAACATCCCACTTCTTTCATCCGGACTACCATCAATCGGATCGTCGGCAGTGGCCTAGGACCGGATCACCCTTCTACCTGCTCTTCAAACTCGACCAACTCACTATCGGGCTCACCCGATTCTGCTGACCGGCTCGAGAATGAGACTCTGTTGACAATCCCTCCGGTAAGCGACTCCAGTCGATCTCTCCGCTCATTCACACACCCTCTTATAAGTCACATCAACTGATTAAGCTTTCCATCCTGCCCCCCCGCCTCTTTTTTTTTCTTGCAGATCTCTCCTTCCCGGCCTAGCTCACCTTCAGGTCTCGCTCCCGATACCTCACTATCCTATGATGATCCGGCAGCAGTTGAATTCCGATCTAATCAGGTTCTTTGGTTTCAGAATTGCCGATGGGATGAGATCCAAAAAGAGAACATGTTGGAATGGCTCGCCTGGTCTCTATTCAGCATGCCGCTCGAAGAAGTCAGATTGGAAGATCAACAGATGGAACTCAAGGCTGAACCAAGATCAAAGCTACTAGAGGAGATCCTGATTCGGTTCGAAAATCGAGCTGGCGCTCGACTCAAACCAGGCTATAACCCTAACCTAGCCAAACGAGTCATTCGCTTGACACTCGATCCAATCAGCATCGAAGTTCGACCACTAGGACTCTACCTATTGTCTAACATGGGCAGTCTGATACTCAAACATTTCCTCAGAAAAGCCGGTTTCAAAGAAGCTCAGTGCACCCATCGATGCCCTCAAGGCTTGAAGTACTTGATTCGAAAGCCACCCGGCTGGGACGACCAACCCGTCGAAAGTCGTCCGGTACCTCTCATCTTCGCCCACGGATTAGGAATAGGTAAGTGAAACATGCTTCTCTCAGACTGCCAGCTTGGCAGAAAAAGAGAGAAAGAGAGAGAGACGAATCGGCTTCTTCTTTCGATCCACAGGTTTCTGTCAGTATGTCGCGTTCCTAAACTACATGGCCAATGCATCGTGGGCTCTCAATAAACCCATAGTTATACTGCTTCAGCCTTCCATCTCGTCAGTCCACAAGACTTCTCAGCCACTAGTTTGACCCCTTGCGAATCTCGTAATCCTGAATTAACCCCAGCTCTTCTGCCGTGAATTTACGTTTGCTCAGCCAAGAAGTATTTTCCGCTCAGCACCTCAGACCGCCAACCAAAGAAACGCTTGCTGCCGACGTGATCCAATTAATTTATAGCGAAAATTTGGCTGAGGTGGGAGTCGAATTGATTGGTCATTCTATGGGGACCATTGTCATAGCTTGGGTTGTGAAAGCTCTATCAAACAAGGGAATGATCAAGCGGATTTGCCTCATAGATCCAGTATGCTTCTGTGGGCACTTTTCCTTTCTTCTTCTTTTTTTTTTCTCTTTGAAATGAAACAAATTATGTATGGATATTTCAAGCTGATCTTAGCTTCTACCACATTATTGTTACAAACGTCGAATTTAGGCTTATGGTAAGGTTTTGAGCTTTCTTGCATGCTACGTTGGAAGTGGGCTGATCAGCTCGTTCATCGCGTCTTTCACAGGGAGCCACACGTTTGCTACAAGTAAGTCAATCCGAATTTTTCGACATCTACTAACAGTTAAACAGAATTGATTTAATTCGTGCTTGCTTTTCAAAGCTTCCTGTACTCAACGCCGCGTACGGGGATCGAAAGGATGATAAGATATTTTGTGGCCACTGAATTAGGAGTAGCTCATCATCTACATCGATATTTCGAATGGCGATCGAATATTTTGTGGCCATTCGAAATTCCTGGATTTACCGATCCGAAGAGGTTCCAAGTGTTCTTGTCGGAAAAAGATTCGATCTTGGACCCTGCAAGAGTGAAGAAGTACTTGATTGACAATGGGATGAAAGAATCGGTTGGGATCTTCACCGCCAAAGGCGCTGCACATGGTGAAAGTGTAATCGAGATGGGCTCTCACTTCGACCTAGTCAAGAAGTGGCTTGAAGATCGAATCTCCTAAGAAACTAACCTACGATCCTTATTATGAGTTGAAGGCCAACGTAGAGTTTACCCACAATGAAGTCACTATCACTTGACTGTATACATATTTGTTAGACTTAAAAGACGACATTAGAAGAAACCTGTCGAGTTCTTTGAAATGCCTTTGTAATTTGTAGAAGTAATTGTTGCAAGAATTCTCCTGTGGCTATGGAGAAGTGTTTTGGTCTAGTCAGAATATCTCTTGACTGCTCCACTGTATTACATACATAAACAAATATCTTGGGTCTTATGTTTTTTGAATGTGTACCCAGATGGCCTTAACCTGTCCTTTAACCCTCATGGATGCCTGGTAACATCATTTTAAATTCATGTGGGGATCAGATAAACAACATTCCTTGGTTTCCGCTTTGTTTCCCATATCTGAATGGTTTGGATCTGGTCTGTGTTCGGCTTATCCGGGAAGTGAACATCAACTGTGAGTATTCCTTTTTACCCCAATAATACAGCCCACCGTATAAGATGTCATGGGCCTTCGAATGATGGAAGATATTCCAATACATACAAGGGATGGTGTTCTGATAAGCTCCTATCCTGAATTGGCACATCCCCCAAAACAAACATCCACCAACTATTTACATATCTATCATCCAACCAGTTCTTCACTCCCACCCGACAGATCAGATGAAACCAACTCAGAAACCCAAAAGCGCACTCAAGCCAACTCAGACCAACTCCCTCATCAGTCTGCTCGTCATCCTCCTGACCTTTCTGCTGTAAGTGATGATTCCCTTCTTGTTTACACCAGCAGCTGCTAACCAATCACGCTTCATCTGGTCGCGGGTCAATCTAGTATCTCTGCTATTTCGACCTATCTGAGATATGATTTACCGACGCCGAAGGGCTTACCGAGGAGAACAGCCTCAACGAGGGGGACGAACGAAACTGGAGGTTCATCATCATCAAGACCACTGCTAGCTGATGAGCAAGAGTTTTCGGAGAGCTTAGCGAACGAATACATATACCATCTGGCCGATACTATCGGCTATCGAATCGTCGGTACCGAAGAGATGGCCGAAAGCTTTGAGTATCTTCATCAGGTCTTGATCGACCTCAAGTCTCAGGCCCAACAGCTCGGAAGTCATAAGCAGTTCGAGATTCTAACTCAAGTGGATGATGGCGCTCATCTGTTCGAGTTTATGGGAAAGGTTCGTATGATCAATCAGAAATGATCCGTCTCTTTTGCGTAGTCTGAGCTGATCGATTGGTTCGGATCTTTTTTGTTTTATGGATGTTTTTGTAGCATGTGTGGAAGAAATACTTCCAATTGTCGAATATCATTGTCAAAATTTCGGATCCTTCGATCCCCAGTTCCAGTGAGAATGCCGTCTTAGTGAATGCTCATTTAGATAGTACTCTACCCTCGCCTGGTCAGTAGCTTTCTCTGACTTTGATGATCGATATTCTGGATGATCTGATCGACTGATGACGCATAAAATTCTCCTTGCCCTCTTCAGGTGCGGCTGATGATGTTGCTGGCGTCGCTGTGATGCTCGAAGCCATTCGGATAATCACTCAATCACCCGACTGGCCAATGCACAACGGTATCGTTTTTCGTAAGTATCTGACTGGGTAGTTTCTTGGGATTGGCATCGTATTGATCTCGATCTTTTGTTTTATTTCGAAATCATTTTCTGGCCGTTCTTCTATGATGTTTGGGATCGATCGATCGTAGTCTTTAATGGAGCCGAAGAATCATTGCAAGATGCAAGTCACATGTTCATTACCAAACATCCACTCAAAGATATGTGCGTCCCTTTTGTTCTTTAAATACCCTACCCTAAGCTCTATTCACTCAATTTCATCGCCTCCCATCCGTTTTTCTTTTCCAGTGTGCGCGCGGTGATCAATTTGTGAGCATCACTTTCTCATCTGTCACGTCGATATTTTCTTGACAGGACAGAAGTGTTCCCTTTTCTCAAACTGACTGACGATCAGTTCTTCGGTTTTGTTCTTGTAGAGAGGCTTGTGGGACTGCTGGCGTGTGTTTAATCTTCCTTGATCAGCTCTTCCATTTCTTGAGTTAGATTCGTCGGGGCTAATTTCTTTGGACGTTCTTCTGGATCAATTTTCAGCAAGAAATCCTCTTTCAGGCAACTTCCACAGAGGTATGAAGATTTTCCCGTGTTCCCGTCTTTGACTGTGCGGCAGCGTCGTGGTTAATGCGTCTTCTTTTTGACATGTACTCCCTTTTCAGATGATCGAAGCTTACTCCAAGGTACCTCGACCATTTGGAAGCGTCATTGCAACTGAGGTCTTTCGGACTGGCTTGATCGCCTCTGAGTAAATTAACCATTACCTCCCCATATCCCGCGTTTGATCTCAGGCTTATAATATTTTCTGGTTAATCTATGTAGTACCGATTTTCGACAATTTGTACAATATGGTAATCTCACCGGACTGGATATGGCGATCATGCAAAACTCGTATCTCTACCATACTAGTCAAGATATACCCTCTAAAATCGAGCCTGGGGCTATTCAACATATGGGCGAGAACACAGTGGCTTTACTCAAACACTTGACCTCTCCCTCTGCTAATCTAACCAGCATTAAACCGGCATCTACCACCGTTTTCTTCTCTGGACTGGGCGGATTAATCTTTATCATGTATTCTAAAACGACGGCCTTGAGGGTCTACACCGCTTTATCGGTCGCTGCAATCACCATTCTCAGTCGGAATATCAAGTCACGACATTACTCGATTTACTTTTTCGCGTTTCTCGCCGCTATCGGTTCTCTTTTGGGCTTTATTATTGGCTCTAACTTGGTTGCCTTCATCATCTCGATCATGCTTGACAAACCACTTTCTTGGTATCGATACGAGTCTTTCCCAATCTTACTCTTCGGGCCGCCTGCACTGGCGGGTGGATTGACTGTCCAGTATCTATTTTCTAGGTTTGTTCACAAATCTAATTTGCTCAAGCCTGGCGACGAGGATGTCCTATCGCATGCAGTCCTCTCTGGACTCATGACCCTCAATGGTATCGCATCAGTTGTTGGGGCTTACTTGGATATTGGTACTGCATATCTGCCTGCGGTCGGACTAGTCTCACTGTTATTGTCCCTAATGATCAATGACTTCATCTTGGCCCCTATAAGTGGTAAACGAGCCCACTTACATCTTCCGATGTATTTATCCGCACTGGTAAGCTTCTCATAGACAGTGACTGTAAGGCGCTCTATTCATCCGTACTCATATCGTTTGTGTGTGGGGCTTTTTTTTAGATCTTGCCTGGATTCTTGGGAGTCGAGGGTCTGCTGGCCTTCCTCGACTTGTTCGTACCTATGACGGGGAGGATGGGACATGATGTCCACGTGGATTTTATGATTGCGAGCTTGGTTAGTGCAGTCGGATTTAATATCATATCGATCAGTTTACCGCTAGCCCATCGATTCAGTAGACAAGCACTCGGTCGTTTTCTCGTCCTCCTCTTAATGTTCTCGAGTCTGGTGGGCTTCTGGTTCACTCGACCCGATTGGAAAATCTTTGATCCAGACCACCCCAAGCGTCTGCCAATCCTACATATGGAAAACTTGACTAGTAGCTCTCCTAGCTTTGATCTCCATATTGCTAGTATGGATCGCGCGCCTGGATTTGAAAACCTCGTGAAAAACCTCATCGATACTCTATCGCTTTCTGATCAATCGCCGGTCCTCAGCTCGATTAATGATGATATTCCCGACTGGGATATCATTTACCCAGTCTCTCAATTCTTGAAATCGTACCAAGTCCCATTGAGCCTGATTAAACACCAACTCATGGAATCTGAGCAGGATGGAGAAGATGGGAAGACTCGATATGTTTCTCCCTGGACGGATAAATTCAAGATCACGAGTCTCTCAAGTAAATTAGATTTCATTAACCAACAAAGAACGATTGTTATCGCCATCGATCACCCCGGGATAATCTGGACGGTGATTGCGTTTACGGCAGATGTGGTGGAATGGGATCTGCCCTCGCGTCCATTAAGAGGCAAACGAAGACACCACATCAAAGAGGCGAGTGGGTTTGGGATAGACCGATGGACGTTGAACGTGACGATTGCTCTGGACGAGGCCGAGTTCCAGAGTGCGATGGAGAACGAACAGATCCTCAAGGGCCAACGCGCGCCGATCTCGGTTCACGACAAACAAGCCCAGGCGTTCGCCCGCTCGGGAAAGCTCAAGATCGAGTTCAGCGGGATCGACCAACTCGGCCTCTATCCCGCACGCTCCAAACCTAAAAGACTCCCTCTTCCGCTCTCCCATTCTCAACCCCCCTCGAACCTTAACTCTCATCTGGGTTGGATCGGGAACGGGAACGGTGGACCCGGCCTGCGTCTCTTCAATAAACTCATTCAACTTCTTCCTAATTGGGTCGATCCTTTCTTACTCAGCGCTATCTCTAACACCGGATTTGTTTAGATCTGCCACTTCTCTCTCTCTCTCTCTTCAACTTTTTTTACTAGAAATGAACATCATCATAGAGCTTCTGTTTTCCTTTTTTTCACGAAACTTATCCATTCCTTTCTCCAAAACTTAGAATTTTAAACTACTTTTCTTTAATTCATAAAAATGAGAAGAGACAGCAAATCAATTTGGTGATCCCTTAATTTATCTTTTTTAATCTCCAATTTTTTTGATTTATTCTTAAATTAAGGATCAACACATGTATCTAGATTTCCTCTCTCCCTATTAATAAAATAAATAGAACTAATCAAAGTTTGTCATTTAAAATCATTATCATCATTATTTATTTATTTTCATCTAGGATAGATGATGATGAAGAAGATACAATATAAGAGTTTTGATGGGCGATTGAAAGCTCTTCTTGGTTGTCTGAACCTGTCTGAAATGGAGACAGACCTTGTGGGGCCCTTGAGGGTGTCTCTGGGAGGGAATATATCAGTGACAATGACAAAAGAAAGAAACTTATAGTATGTATTACAAACTGCGATAAGTGATACATGATCTTGGATGTGTCTTGAGAATATTCAAGCCTCATTGGATCAATCCCAACAATCTGGCGGTCCTATGATCCGAGCCTATCTGAGCGGGAACCCAATGCATGGCTGTGATAAAATCTTTCAGACTTCTACAAACCTTGTTCTTGTTTTTCATTTTCTTTTGTGCATCCTACACACCTTTTTACTTTCCCGTGATCAAATTGATTCCTGAGAAAATGGCCTGTCATCTTCTGTCATCAGCTTGACTGTTTTCCTATAAGTGTGTATGGGGGTCTTTCGGCTGCTTGAAAGTTCTGCTCTTGTTTACTTTGGGAGAGTTCCTGATCATCGCTTCCGGAAGAACATCCAAGAAGGACGCGGTTTCGTCTACTCAAGAGTCGCGAAATTCGATGTCTGCAATCCGCCGACCCACCATCATAGTTGAGTCGATTGGACTGGGGCTATTAACTGGTCATGTGTATTGTTGGATGGAAGCTCACCAATTCTCCCCATTCCTCATTCTTGATGCCCGATCGACGGTCAAATTGGTGGGGAGAATAACTTCAACAGTTGACCGGCGGTTCCCGCGGGATTGGTCTCTCGTGTCTTGAATTCTTGCTCAAATCACCGATCCGCGCGAATGTGGTATCGCTCTCCAGGTCATTTCCTCAAAGTAAAAAAAAGCCCCTCCCAGCTTGCGCTTAAGTAGCAATCATATGTCTACCTTCCTTATGGCTGAAGGATTGGGAACATTGACTTCTTGGTATCCTTTTGGGCGCTATTTCCTATCAAAAAAAAAAACGGTTTTTTATCAATGCAGGATTGCAGGAGTTGAAGAATTTACATCATGATAACTTGTTGGTCGTGAAAGGAGATGTGAAAAATGATGAAGACAACAAATTGGCGGTCGAATCAGCCATCAAAACGTTTGGTTCGATTGATGGTTAGTCGCCCTCGTTATCATTCACATACTTACAAAGGTGTAGGTAACGTTGAAAAGCTGAAGGCATCCTCGGCCATCGTCCCCCCCTATCTTCAAGGCTTGATCTTGAACTCAGGCATCATTCATTTTGAGCGGATTGACAGCAACAAAACACTGGACGCATGGCGGGAGGTTTTCGAGGTCAACTTTTTCGCCTTGATTTCAATGCTCAAACATTCCTTGGTCCATCTCCGGGATTCCAAAGGGAGGGTAGTCTTCATCAGTTCGACTGCTTCTGTGTTGGGCGTTTCATCGTAAGTCCATCACCCTAAAAGTCTTTTCAACCTTGAGAGTTTTTAGTTTACCGAGCTGAGAACCGTCGTCCCATACCTCTTCCACAGTCTGGGCAGCTGTTGAGTTCCATCCTCCCGACAATTATTGCCAAGTTCGACAGTCTTAATTGGCTAATCAACTGCACTTGCTTCATCAATCCAGACGGTGCAAGCAAGGCGGCGTTGAACTCCTTGTGTCGAACGCTTGCCGCTGAGGAACCTGAAATCACCTCTGTTTCGCTGCGACCAGGTGTGACAGATACTGAAATGCAAGAAGAATTGAGGTCCAAAGGCAAGTTCTCCCCGCTTTGAATACTTATTCCATGTCAGACAACCTACCATGGTCATCGGCCTTCATGACATTTTTCCCATGAAGCTGATCAGCGGAACGTCATCCTTTGTAAACACCCATGGATTGATCATCGCAATAATGAAAGGCAAAGGGTTGATGACTCCGGAAGTTTACCAAAGCTGTTATGACTTGTTTGCGTCGTCTCAAATCGTCCAGCCCGACCAACCGGCAGAAGTGATCGCCAACCTTGCGGTCAGAGCCGACCAAAACCTGACGGGCCAATTCTTCGCTTGGGATGATGAGGAATTGAAAAGTTATCGAAGCTCTTGCTAATTATGTTCTTTTCTCTGAAAACACTTTGAACTTCAAGTACAAATTGACTGTAATAAACATCCCGCAATAGGTTTATTGAATATCGTTTAGAAAAGGCCACCACACCAAGAAACTTCTCAAGTTCCCAGGCTTCGATGTCTCTGCAGAAAGCTGAGCATCACAGCTCTGACCTAAAACACGCGGATGCGGACATGATCATGAGGTGTTTTTCCTCGGGACCATCCCTGTTTCCTGCGGATGCCGACCACACAAGCTCCTCTTGAGACCAGCCTACTTGGTACACTACAGTACAACGACATGTCGTCAAGTGGGTAGATCCATTCCAGCTTTTTCTTCATTCACTCTCAGAAATACGTCGTCAAAGACATTGCGCAACTGCGGACACTGGCAGATTAAAACCCTGCTTATATGATCCAGGCTCAAGGTAATAAACACGCAGTTTCAGCAGGACTTGGAGGTAGCATTGGACCCTCGCTGAACACAATCCCCTAGTTTCAGGAGCCGGGGCACCTGGGTAACTCAGGACTCCAACTCCAGCGAGAATTTTCCTGCCACCAGAGTATCCTATGATGGCATGTGGAAACAAGAATCCTCAACGTTTTGGGCCATGTGGACATCAGACGCCCTATGGGACCCAGACTTTCGCAGCTCCCCCCTCCCCTCTTCCTCTCATAATTATAAGATCTTCTTCTTTTTGGGTATCCACTAAGTTGTCTTTCTTTTTTCTTTTCTTTTCTTTGCTGGGGGTTAGAGAGATAGATATTCAAGTTCGATTTTAGAATATTTTCAGCGGGGGTTGAAGTGTTATCGCTCCCATAGAGGAGCCAGTCATCCGTCTAGCCGGCCACTCTCCGGGTCGTACTTCGAGCCCGGCAACAGTGTGTCAGTGTGGCTTGAATTCAGCTCGATTGTCTCGGCATAACGCTCAGACCAGTTGGTCCGTTTATCCGCGAGTGTATTATAGACCGGCCAAGTCGGAGGATTAAGGCAAGTCGTCCGCCCATATACCTATTGATTAAGATTCGACCAAGACACCATGATCCATTAATTAATCAGGTTTTTGGCCACACTCCGGCCGAATACCCTTACCGGGGATCATGCAGGAAGAGCTGATGATACCGCGACCTCCGACAGTCACCTCATTGCTGGCTTTCCTTCATGGCCAAGGTATTCATTCCATGCACCTTAGCATAGTGCCTCCCTTGATTTAGTTCAAAATTCACAATTCTTCTTTGAAATTGTAAGATTGATATTAAGGAATGGATCGATAGTGAATAAAAAAGATTTTTTTCAACGACCCATATGCCATCTCATGCTTGTCATCATCACAGCAACAGTCAGTAAGTTCTGGTGCGGCGCGCAAACGGCAGGATGAAAGAGCTGCCGAGACATCCTTTGATCAGGAAGAGAGTCCAAAGGCCGTTCTCTTTCTTTTGACAACTTCGCTTGATGCTTTTAGCTCGAATCTCACGTCAACAGTCAGTGTCCGCTCGTGGTGAGGTACAGTCTCGGATGTGGCCGTCCGAGCCGGCTTTTCGGGCAGTGTTAACTACCGCACTGCTCTGCCCAATTGCAATCACACCCAGTATCCATGCAGGACACTGTTCCTCACTCCAAACTCAGGCGGGGACTCAGGCGGGGTTGGATTAGGGTAAGGCAAGGCAGCAGCTGCTGGGGCCAGACGTGGGATGCAAAGTACGAGTGATACCAAGCGGCCATCTCTCTCGGACCCTCTCGCAAGCCTTTTTTTTTTTGGTAAGGGTATAAAATAGCGATTTTCTCTCTTATGTAGGTGCGTTGTGCACACAAATGAATTTCTCAAGTGATCCAGATCGAATGAGTCTAGCGGTGGTTTGTAAAGGAGAAAGAAGTGGGGCAGAAGTCTTCCTTATTAAGAGACCGTAGAGGGAGTGACCTGGAGTGATTCATTCATGGAGTTTTCTTCGCATTTTCGGGGTTTCTAATCGGAAGATTGGTGAAATCGACTAATAATGGCCTGGGACTTCGGTACACTTGTATTTGTCGAAAAATTGACCTGAGGTGATTGTGAAGGAGCGATGGCCCTAGATAGTTACAAGAACGTTAAAGGCGGTGTTTCCGTTTTTTGGTTGTTAGGAAGCGTGCTTTCTCTCATCGGAATAGGCCCTCATGCGTGGAAAGGATGATAGAGAAGAACTTGGACATACATCGTACCCCGTAGGATGATCGCAGCACGCGTTTGCTGAGTGGGGTGGGTTAATATCTATGCCGTAACAGGCCCATAAGCCGGCACCTACCGAGGTGGCCGGGGAGACTTGAATTTCGGTTATAGGGAGAAGGTCGTGTGGATCGGCAAGAAGTGAAGATCAGCCTATTTATCTGTCCATAATATCCTTTTCATCATATGACGATTCGAAGGTCAACCTACAAGTATATATCATGGGGGAGACAGAGATGTTTTTGACTACACAGTATGGGTTCGTCGAACATTCGAAGATGGGGGGGTTCTTGGCGGCGCAAGCAACAAGTGGTAACATGAAGACTGCCAAGGGAGCTTTAGAGATGCCTAGAAACTGCATTTTCGTAAGTCTTGATGGGGTGGGCGAGTTTTATGTAGTTAGATTGGAGAAAAGGCGGTGGTGGGAGGACGGAGCAGGTGGGAAGGGTTACAACTTATATAGAAAATTGTTTGTGTGACTGGGTTCTACAGAGACAAGCCACAGTCATCCTGGCACCAAGGAAACGAGTCGACTGAGCTCACGTGGTCTATACAGCACAGGCAGGCGAATCCTGGACTGTTCTGAGTCCATAATGAGATTCTGATCTATTCTGAAGCAGAGCCGACAAGTGTATAACAGCGACCCTGGGCAGACAACACAACCCCTCACAAGGGTGCTAGAGTTAATCGATTGTAAGGAAAGTACATAAGTGAGGTTGGCGACTCTATCAGCATAGGGAAAGAGATGTACATAGATCATGAATGCGTGGCCTTCATCATTTGCAGACAAGCAAAAGGTTGCTTGAGAACAAATCTTTAAGCATTTGCCGATAGCTATTGTGATTGATGCAAAGAAGACTGATACAAGTGATGACATGGAATTCTCCAAAATAATTAACATCCCGCTATGAGCGAGCGGTACTCTTGCGTTCATTCCGACGTGATGTCTTATTATGATTTTTCAAGCTTTCTGTGCGATGTTGTGCAATCTCAGTTAGGGGAAGCTTCGCGACATTTAAATCTGTGCTTGTAGTCGTTATCCGAGACTGTTAATTCAGTACCGAAGCGCCTGGGTTTCTAGATAAAATTGAGTGGGTGATGATTGGTGGTCAGAGAGCGCTCTTCCTCAGTGAAAGCTGAAGCTAGCTAGCCTTCAATGGAGTGATAATCGAAGATGACGACGTACAAGTAACCCCACAGGATTATCGCAGCACACGTCTATTATGGATTTCGAAGAAAGGTTTGAGACGCTACAGGTCGACCTGCCCTCACGTGTCACTTGGCTGGCCGGGCCGACTGGAGGATTTGGATAAGGAAGGATCGTGCAGGTCCAGAGATATGTAGGAGGGTATAGTTTTGTTTTGGTAGACAGGTCCAATATTAGCCCATCGGTTCAGCTTATTATCCGTATCAAGATTTGAGAGTAAACTTACACTTATATTTCATTGGCTGAGTTGAGTAGTCTTTGTATGCGCAATACTTATACTCCCCATGCCCACAGAGAAAATAGCGAGGATTGCTCGCGGCGCAAGGGACTGTAAGGTGCAGCAGGACCACCGAGAGTGTTTTGAAGAAGTCTGAAAATTGCATTTTAAGTAGAGTTGTGATGTGATTGATGGGACTTGAATGGAAGGCTGAGGTTCCCGTTGGCAAGAGGTGTGGAAATATAAGCAAATGGGATCGCAGATGGCCAAGCTTGCAACAACTCTTCCTTGCTCCTGAAAAACAATTACTGTAACTACAGCCGTAATGTATTACTGTACAAAGAAGGGGGGTTTGGGCTTGGGGTTGTCCATCGATCATCACAGTGGTCCAGGCTGCACACAGAAATGGCATGTGGCCGTTCCTAGTATAAGAAAAGGAAAAAATATAAAAGACTCAGCGACTGGATTATTCGAGTGTAATAGAAAGATTAATTGCATAATGTTGTTTTAGAAATGAAACAGACCTATAAGAAAAGGAAAAAATATAAAAGACTCAGCGACTGGATTATTCGAGTGTAATAGAAAGATGAGGAACTCGAATAACTAGCCGCTACTACAACTTATAAGGCCCCAATTATAAACCAATATTTTGAATTTTTGGTTTTTCTATTTGAAAACCATTTGAAAATGGAAAAGAAATGAAAAAGAAATCAGAAAGAAGTTTGAATATTATTTCAAAATACACTCGAACACTATGTACAATTATAAAGCAGTAGCATTGTTAGGCCTAGATGTGTCATCGGGCAGGGTAAGCTATCAAGTAAAGCTGGTGTGGCATGGCCCAAGGCCCCCAGGTGAGTGCAGGGTCTACCATCTCTGATTTGGCCCCTGCTAACCATGGTTGGATCGATGGATGTAGGGCCCCGGCACCATGTTGCATTGCGGAGTGTGGAATGTCTGCTCCGGGCCGGATGAGCATCTGCCAATCTTGGTATGAATTTCAATCACACATGGATGTACAGACAGAATCTGGGTATGGATTTCAATTATACAGGGATGTACAGACACAAACATCGGTATTGTTTCTCAAGATGATGTTTTTGAGATTCAAACCACCTCTGGAGGAGGTTTGAATGGTTTTGAGCTCGGTTTTGAAATGAAAAAGAAAAGGAAAAAAAATTCAAACAAAGTTGCAACACTTTTCAAATTATTTCAAATACATTTTGAAAAGGTGTTTATAATTGGGGCCTAAGTACTTTGATTATGTAACAAGTATTATGAAATGTCTTAAAGTAGAATTTGAAATAGACTAAAGTATAAAATGAAATAACTATGGGATATTGTCGTCAATAGTTCGACATGTTGACATCCCATAACCTTACAGCCCCTCCCAACATAAAGAACTATTGCCGTACAATTGAGAAATGTTGAAGGGAAAAAAATATGGCAGGAAAAACAGTGAAATGAAAGAAATAAAGGATGGAAAATAAGAAAGTAAAAAATAGCGCCCCTCAGTCCGGGATATCCTCAATGGCCAAATCTTTGATGCAAGCCAGATGTTTAGCCGCCCCCAGTCTCTTAGTAAAGACGTCAGCCAGTTGGAATTGGTTCGAAATCCAATACAGTTTGACTTCATACTTTCTGACAAAGTCGTTAACAAAGTAGAATGCCCGTTGTAAGTATTTGACCTTCTTTCGGGAGGCATTGTCAGTGGCTACAAGAACTGCCGCCTGGTTATCACACAGGATTTCGTAAGTTGCAACCGGACACACGTCGTCCAGGATAACCTTGATGTTGGCAAGCGTTTGGGTGGCAATGGACAATGCCACGTATTCAGCAGCGCACGTGGACATGGCAACTACCTCCTGTCGCTTGGAACCCCAAGTTATCGGGTTGCCGCAGTGCTGAAGGATGTACCCTGAAGTGGATCGTTCGTGCTCGCCCCCCCAACCCGCGTCAACATACAACTTTACCTCCTCTTTACCAGGTCGGAAGGTAATTGCCTGGTGTGGGTTCTTCTTGACATAGCCAATTAGGTGGTCAAGGGCCAACCAGTGTGATTCAGATGGCCGACTGCTGTACCTTGCCAACATGTTCACCGCATACGTGATGTCAGGACGCGTACCACAAGCAAGGTACATCAAAGAGCCGAGTACGGAGCGAAAAGCTGTTTCCTCAATGGGGTCCGCGGTGGAGGTTTCCAGTGTCGATTCCGGCAGCGTGGTATTCTGGTGTACAGTTCGGCGGTGATAGTTGGCCACAATTTGTCTTGCCAACAAATGCTGCTCCAGGTATGCGTCCGAATGACGAAGTCAAATATTGATCCCCACAATTTGGTCAACCGCGTCTTTCCATTTGATCTCAAGATGTTGGACAAGTCCCTCCCTTAGCTCATTGATGGCGGGTTGAGAATTACTAACCACCAAGCCATCGTCAACGTGCATCCAAATAAAGATATGTACCTCCTCACGCCGGTATACATATAGGGAGGATTCGACTTCAGAGGCTTCAAATCCAAGCTTATCCAAAATCTGTTTGAAGTGTAACCACCAGCACCTCCCCGCCTGTTTTGTACCATAGAGGGCCTTCTTCAGACGGAGAACTTTTCCTTTCAAGAGAGGGCGAAGCTCCGTGGGTGGTTTGACGTATACCTCCTCCTCAATAGGACTGTAGAGGTATGCGGAGCTGACATCAAAAGAGTTCATGATGTATCCAAATTGAATAGCAATTGATATTAGGAGACGGAGTGTAGCCAGTGACGCCGTGGGGGCATAGGTGTCTCGACAATCTACACCAGGCCGTTGGTTGAAACCCCGAGCCACGTACCTCGCCTTGAATAGAATAACCATCCCCAAGATGTCCCTTTTGAGTGCAAAGACCCACCGTGCCCCGATAACTTTGATCCCCTTCTTCGGCTCAACCACTTCCCACACATCGAGCTTTTCAAGTTGGGACAGTTCTCGCTCCGCCGCCGCTCGCCATTCTGCAGAGTCGGGACCAGACAACGCGTGATGTATGTGGTTTGGAATAGCTACATCAGACCGTACTGGTAAAGATTCAATTGCCTTTTGCTGGATGGCTGCCTCTACCTCAGTCTGTTCTTCCCCCAATACAAGGTTGTTGAGCAAAAAGGAGATGTCGTGTTTTGTGGTTGGGATTTCAGCCACCGGCAGTTGTTGAAAAGCAGGGAAGACTGCGTTAGTCGATTGAATAAAAGTCTTCAGATGTTCATTATAGAACAGCCACCCTTTCTCAGATGCCGGATATCCAACCAGGAAACATTCATCCGCGCGTGTGTCGAACTTGTTTTGACGCTTGTCGACCGGTTTGAAAACAAGTGCCCTAGCGCCGAATGGGTAGATGTACTCTGGAACCGGGGACATCCCGTAGAGCAATTCAAGCGGAGTCTTGGGAAAAATTCTCGTGTGCGGGAGACGATTGTGTAAGTACACCGCGACCTGTTGTGCGTAGCTCCAAAAACGTTGTGGCAGCGAGCAGTTTAACATCATCACTCGAGCCATGTCGTTAATGGTACGATTCACACGTTCTGCTTCACCGTTCTCTTCCGGATGGTATGGTGAAGAGTGTGCAAGAGTGATACCGCGAGCCTCCAGCATGGTCTCAAATTTCTTTGAGATGAATTCACCCCCGTTGTCACACCTCAAAAATCGTGGAAAGCGGCCCAGACGAGTCTTGATTGTGTCAAACCATACCTTGAGTCGCTCCGTTACATCAGATTTCTTCTTCATTGGAGTGATGAGGGTATACATGGATGCGTGGTCCCGTAATGTCAGTGCAAATTGGTTGCCGTGGATGTCCTCATCAAAAGGCCCCATCACATCTGACACCACAAGATCCAGAATATTATCCTTGGGAATTGTCGACATCGGAAGGAAACGCTTGCCGGTGTTTTTTGGAGACTACACACTTCTCACAAAAGAACGGCTTCCAGTTCTTAACAACCGCTGGATCCACAAATCTTTCCAGGAATTTAAGGACAGCCTTATCGTTGGCATGACCAAATCGTTCATGCCACTTGATGGACTCCATACTCGGTTGATATGTCATAGAAGCAAGGATAATTTCATTGCAAACCGGTGAAGTATCATCCTTGGTGACAAGGTTCCAGCAAAAATTAGAGAAAGTAGTACGAAAAACGCGGTGCTTATGGACCAATGACATAGTACAGTCTTTGTCAAAGACAGGTTGAAGACCGTATGTCGTGAGCATACCAAGCGACAGTATAACGTAGGGAATGGATGGGTGATGGTACACATTCTTGATCCGGATAGTCCCACTAGGAGTCGGGATCTTCAGACTGCCAATTCCGGTGAGCGTCATTTCCGATTTGCGCGAAGCAAGAAGAACCGGGACGGGATTAGTAAGCCGCCGTTCAAAAGTGAAGAAGGGAGAGTTCCCGCTTACACAAGCCGAGGCCCCAGAATCGATGAGGACGGTATCATCGTTTGGTGCTGTTGTGTCAATAGCACGGACTCGAACGTGACTTGGCTTGGAGGCTGAAGCCGCGGGATTGGCCGGCGGTGTCGCAAGCTGGCTAACATCCAGTTTTCCGTCTTGGAGATCTCGCGCAAGGCGACGACAGGAAGAAGCCCAGTGTCCCTTGAGTTTGCAATAATTGCATTCTGACCCCTTTTCCGCCATCTGGGCGCTGGTGGGTTGAGTACCCTTGAAGGCAAGCGCATTCGCCAATGCCTTGTTTCCAAAAGTCTGTCCTCTCGATTGATCAGAGCGGGTGGGTTTCTTTAATTGGTTGCCAGATTGAACAAGGCGGTTGACGAGGATTGGATTGTCGGACGTCCCAGTCTGAAGTTCGCCCTCCACTTGCGTAATCTGTTGGCAGACTTTGTCGAGGGTGGGAATCTCGGCGGTTGTGTTCAAGCGCTGGTTTAAGTTGTTCCGGAAAGAATTCTCATCCGTGTCAATGGGAGGTTTGACGACAGATTGCAGTATCAAACCAAATAATTCCTCAGTCGATATCTTCTTTTGTTTGACGTCGAAGTATAGTTTTTGAAACTGCGAGATAAGTTCGTCGTTTGAGGGTTGTCGTTCAGACATGAAGAAATTTGGACCGAAGATGGGGAGATTTTTGGGCAACAAAAATTGATTTTTGCTGGAAAGACTCAAGGGTCGGGAAAAGAGGGTGAGAGCCAATGATTTTCATTTGCTAGTAGAGCCTACGCGTTAAATAGACTACGTACAACAAGTTCAGTCTGTGGTTGAGAGAAATGAATATCAAAATGAATAAAGCAGATTAACATATGCTTGAAAAGATGACTGGAATAAATGTAGTTGATAAAGACTAGACCAGGGTTCGAAGACTACAAGGATTTCAGCACTAGACAACATAACAAGATATCACGCAGAAACTATCAAAAAACAAAGTAAAAATCATGTAAATTATTTATCAAATCATATTGAATTTAACAGTGGGATAGATGAGTTTTTTAGGGATGAGAAGAAAGAGATGAAATTCCAACACCCCCCGCTACTCAGACCTAAAAAACCTTAGAGTGAAAAAATACTTGTTTGAAGGAGATGAGAGATAAAAAGAGTGAGGAGGCAGTGTAGACTATGTATTGAAGTATTGAACACCTTCAAACTTCATTTCGTCGACATGATGGAGCTTGCCGTCGGCTGTTCTGAAGAGGGAGAAGTCTGTCGGATCGTTGAGTTGATTGAAGTTGTCTTGAACGGTTAGGTGAGCTGAGTGTGACTTTGGAGCCTTTTCAGGGTATTTGACCCAGCAGTTATTGATGCGATGACCCGGCTTCTTGCAGTGATCGCAGAGTGGTGAGTTCGACGAAGATTGATCGCTTGATCGAGTAAGAAGTGACTGGAGCGGAGTCGTTGATGCAACAGGCTTTTTATCGAGATCGTTTTGAGCTACATAGCTCTCGAGTTTCTTGATGACCGATTCAAAGGATTCCGAGCCATAGTTCATCGATACGATATCGCGAAAAGAGCGATAGTCCGAAGGCAGTTTCTTGAGCATAAGGATCGTTCGGACGCGATCGTCCAAAATGAGGCCCGACATCGATATTTTTTGATTTGCTGATCGAACAGCAGGAATGAAGGTAGCGATGGAGGAAAAACTGAGGTGGAGGAACTGATCAAGTCCTGTGGTTTGCGAGGTGAGGTCATCGCCAGCGTATTGCGATTTCAATAGCTTCCATAGACCACGGCCATTGAAGCGAGGGGTTGTAGGTAGCGCAGAACTAACAAATCCAAGTACTTCCTGACCGATGTACGCTATGATTTCAGCGTAAGCGTCGTTGTTCAGTTTAGTCCACTTTTCTTGTTCTTTTTCATCGGGTTCAACTTGTCCTTCAAGAATGTCCAGAAGCTTTAATCTGAAGAGTCTTGCCTCCATTGGCAATAACCAGAGGGCGTAGTTGAGAGGGGTTAAGAGGACTTTGGTTTCTCGGATGACTTCGGTGGACATGGTCGATGTTGATGTTCTAATCTAATCGAGATAGAGAGATTGTTGTAACAGGTCTTTCGACTGTTAATTGTGAAGAAATTTGGACCGAAGATGGGGAGATTTTTGGGCAACAAAAATTGATTTTTGCTGGAAAGACTCAAGGGTCGGGAAAAGAGGGTGAGAGCCAATGATTTTCATTTGCTAGTAGAGCCTACGCGTTAAATAGACTACGTACAACAAGTTCAGTCTGTGGTTGAGAGAAATGAATATCAAAATGAATAAAACAGATTAACATATGCTTGAAAAGATGACTGGAATAAATGTAGTTGATAAAGACTAGACCAGGGTTCGAAGACTACAAGGATTTCAGCACTAGACAACATAACAAGATATCACGCAGAAACTATCAAAAAACAAAGTAAAAATCATGTAAATTATTTATCAAATCATATTGAATTTAACAGTGGGATAGATGAGTTTTTTAGGGATGAGAAGAAAGAGATGAAATTCCAACAAGACATATAAAAATCAGTGAGTTGAGAGATCAATTCGAGCTTGTTTTGGCGGTCATTTCGTTTGCAACTCGCCTCCAACTTGTCGAAGATTTCCTTAGGCTTACGAGTCGATGCAACTGTGGCCAATAGGTTCTTCTCAAGAGTGGATCGTAATAAGATAATCAATGAAGGCTCCTGGTCGTCATGTACAGTAAGCCAGTTAGTCGATTTGGAGAGGAAATCCTCCCGTCGATAAACAAATTCGAGAGTGGCGTTGATTTGTTGTTCCCAGGCGGAGTAATTCTTTCCACCGAACTTCAAGTATTCGACAGGGTTGTGGAAGGACCGATGAAGGGCCATGGGATCCTTCATGAATTGTTTCTGGTTGAAGGTGTATGGTTGGGGTTCAACAACACGAGGAGTGTCTTCTCGTTTCATGAGATGTGGCGGGTCTTCTCGAGAATGCGAGATCGCATCGGCCAGGTTGTTTACTGCCTTGATTACGCCATCGATTTTCAAGTCGAGTTTGATGACTTTATGGTCGATACGACCAATTTCGTTACGAGTTTCGTGGTTACCCGCTTGGATGGTCTTGAATTTGGTGTCGAGGTCTTTGAGGTTGTGTATGATTTGTTCCTCGGACAATTCCCCCGGTACGAGTTGACTAAGAGAAGTCAGGGTGGAATCGGATCTTTCTTGAGGGATGTCTGTCGCTTTGCCTTTAGAAGTCGAAGTCTTCTTACTCATTGTGAGTGTCTCGGTAGGCCGGCTTTTAACCTATAAGAAAAGGAAAAAATATAAAAGACTCAGCGACTGGATTATTCGAGTGTAATAGAAAGATTAATTGCATAATGTTGTTTTAGAAATGAAACAGACCTATAAGAAAAGGAAAAAATATAAAAGACTCAGCGACTGGATTATTCGAGTGTAATAGAAAGATGAGGAACTCGAATAACTAGCCGCTACTACAACTTATAAGTACTTTGATTATGTAACAAGTATTATGAAATGTCTTAAAGTAGAATTTGAAATAGACTAAAGTATAAAATGAAATAACTATGGGATATTGTCGTCAATAGTTCGACATGTTGACATCCCATAACCTTACACCTAGCCGTTCCCAGAAAGCTGGCTTGTATTTTTGCGCCACACCTTTGTTGCACCTGGTGTACAGTTGCGGATGGCAAAAACCAACCCTGGATTTTGAGGGTGTCTGAAATTTTGAGCAAAAAAAGTAGATTTTTTTTTGTATTTACAGGGTTTTTTTAGCCCTTTTGAGCCTACATAACTTTGAAATATTACCTCACAGTATTGCATAACCACTCAAAATAGGTGCTACAGGTGCTTTAAGAGTAGAGATGGTCGAAGGGTCTCCGTCGCGGATACCCGTTATCCGCTGGCGGATACCCGCCAGTGCCAACGGATACCCGCCAACGGGTGCGGATGGCCCCTTTTCCGCAAAAAGTTGGCGGGTATCCGGGTATCCCAAAGGATACCCGCGGCCGCAAGGGGAGATGGCCGGCTGGAAGGAGACCCTTCCAGCCGTCGAGGTACTTGTACCTTGACAGCTGGAAGGAAGCCCTTCCAGCCAGCCCTTTAGAGGGCGGGTATCCGAGGATACCCGCTCGGATACCCGCTGCGGCCGACGGATACCCGCCAGCGGGTGCGGATGCGGATGCTCAGATGGCCGGAAAAAGCAGCCGGATATCCGGATGCCAATCGACCATCTCTATTTAAGAGGCATAAGGCCATGAATAAGCCTAACTTGAACCCATAGTTATGGGTTTAAGTATGGCTTTTGGCAGGCATGTCCGAATACATGCTTGTCATACAAATAAAAAAAGGGGGTTAATCGGCTCCCCAAAATTGGAGAGTCGACTCCCAAACCCCAAAACCCCCGAAATTAGGGAGTCAATCCCCCAAAACCATCGACCGGTTTGGGAGTCGACTCCCTAATTAGAATTTAATAAAAAAAAAATAAAAACCCCCGGTTGGTTTGGGAGTTTATCCTCCCAAACCGACCAGGGTTTGGGGGTCGATAAACCTAATCAACCCCTGTTGTAACCCGGCAAGGGGTTACCGAAGGTCTCACCTAGGCCCCCTCTGCCAGCATGTACATAGTCTATAGCTAGCCTACATACATGCAATACCATCATCTTTGTCTCTTCTGTTTGGCCGTTTCTCATCAGGTTATGAGCACTTAAAAGATTCTTGCTACAACACGACACTTTTCTTCTTTCCAAATCCAATACGAGGTAGCTCAGAGTAGAGCGTAATCGACCTCAAGACACCAGCAGTAGCTCAGAGTAGAGCGTAATCGACCGGCAGAACTCTCAATTTTTTTTATCACTTCGACACCTAACGATATCCCTACAACAACGATATCCCTCCAATACCCAAACTCCCGACCTCGCCTTTAGACTCTGGAATTTTCAATAAGCTCAAACCTCGACCGTCCTCCGATTAAGCAACCACGGATTAGCTCTCCGAGGTATACCTTGTCTGGGACGCTGGACAAGGGGCTGAAAAGTGGACAGTCGAACGTTTCGAGTGGACAGCTTATTCCTCTGTCTCGATCAATCCCTCGGCATCGACTCACCTCTACGGATCAACAACCAGCTTCCGACACTCCGACCTCATCCTCAACACCTCGCATTCCTCTCCTTTTTCCCCAACTCCACATACCTTTTCTCAACCCGACTCGATATCATCGCCACATCGTTTTTTTCTTTCTTCCTTTTTTCATCCTGTCTTATCAAACAAAAAAAAAAAAATAAAAAACTAACACATATCACTTTGACTTCCTTTTTTTTTTCCTACATCGGCTATCTTTTCCTTTTTTTTCTTTCTTCCCACCCTATCTTTCATCTTCTCTTTCCCGTTTTTTTTTCTCTCCCTCCAAAACCCACCCAACTTCACAATGGACGACCCGAGTATTATCTCCAACAACCCACAGACCCGGGTCCCTTCCACTTCCACCCCAAACACAACCGTCAACAGACCACAGCGCCGGTCCCTTGAAGATCCCATCGATGACCAGGAAACCCTTCAAACGAGCCCTCCAGGGATCGCCAACAGACAGTCTCATCGACCCTCAGCCGAGATCCCAACCAAAGAGCGTCCGGCCGGGCCACAAGCGACCAGAAACCTGGCCGACGGCTCCTCTCGGGACCGACCACCACACGCCCCGGCCACCAATCGTGGCGGCAGAACCGTCGACAACCGTGAACACAGGCGGGTTACCTCAGCGGAAGACAGGGCGGCGCGGGTTCAGCAGGCAGAGTTCGACCGTCTTGCGGCTAGCCTGATCTCGTCGGTGAACAACCACATCAACGACGAGGACCTCCTCAAAGCCGATGGGTCTAATTTTGCTGCGTGGGAGGATTTTATCGAAGAAAGAATGAGAGGCGCAACTGGCGCAGTTTCCTTTTTCAACCGGCCAGCTCGCAACATCCTTCATGAACGGGTTGGACGGGCGCTCATCATCAACGCCGTCGACCGGTCTCTCCGAAGGGGAATCTCACGACTCACAAGCGCTCATGAGATGTTCAACGATCTCAATCTTCGTTTTCGATCGGTCAGCCGGGCGGCGCAAGTCAGTCTATACCGCCAGCTGATATCGTTCAATGCAACCGATCACCCATCAACGGCGCAAATGGCCTCGCACATCGGGGATTTACTTGACGAAATGACTTCGGCAGGAATCCTTTTCACTCGCGAACATCTGGCAAGACTGGTCCTCCAGAACGGACTCCAAGGTGATCCAACACTTCAAGAAGAGTTCAACCGTCGAGTTGAATTGGATTTCCAGACATCGACTGCGGAACGGCCGGCGATGACGTTTGAAGATATGATTCGGCTCATTGACATCATACGGCGTCAACAGCGGTTCCAATCGACAACCAACGAAGGCACCCGCACCACACCTCTTGTGATGCAAGCTGAACCGCAGATAGCCCCTACGCAAGACCAACATCAAGCGGCGGGGATGCCCATGTACCCCGATCATCCCGACAACTTGCCCGACGTTCACGATTTCATGGCGATGCAAGCGGGGCTCTGCTGGCAATGCAGGTCACCTGACCACCTACTTCGCAACTGTCCCCTACGTTCTAGACCTGGAGCACCACGTGGGAGGTTCCGAAGTCAAGCACCCCAGGCAACACACTACTCGGCTAGGCCAGGCCAAGGATTCAAATCTTTCTACCCCATCGTCACACCGCCGGGCTTTTCAGCCGTCTACCCTCAAACGCATTCCAACCATCGTCCAGCACATGGCCCCCTCAACAGTCAGCAAGCACCTCAACAGTCCAACCAGAACCGCCCTGCGGACTACTATCGTCCCCCGCAATATCGCCTCCAACGGGTCAACCCCCAGTCGGAATCAATTGGGTCGCAACGCCCGAAACCGTCTGCCAATGAGACCACGGCTGGATCTGACTCCAACAATGAGTCATGCGCAAGGATGGTCAAACTCGGAGATGTGGCCAAAGACCTTGCCAACATCCATTTTGACCATGTGCAGGTCGACTCACCGGACAATGCGCCAATCGTGGACTCAGGTGCGTCCCACCATCTCTGTGGTGATCTTAAACTCTTGTCTAATTTCCGTCGTTTCCGTTCTCCTATCCCATTAAAAGTTGCCACGTCCGGAAATCCTGCTTTCATCACTGGCGAAGGGGACCTCACCTTCTCAGGTCTGGACAACCAACGGGTCACCATACATGGTGTACTGTACTGTGAGCTTGC